AGTCGATTATCTTCGCTCTCAGTTTTCCGTCAGATGTCGATAAAACAATATTTCTTGAGTGCTAATTATATATATATGGTGTTAAAAAATAAATTCAAATTATTTAATATATTAATGCTTATTATTCTATGCAACGGGAAAGTGTAATCTTACCAGATCTCTATGTAGAATGCTATTTGCATGTAAGTGACTTAACCCGTTGGCTATTCCTTTCGCAATGTCAATTCTTTCTTCCCACGTGATTTTAGGATTTTTCGTCAGATACTCACGTAGACTTCCCAACTCTGCATATGCTAAAGCAAATGCATAGGATCCATCTGGTTCTTAAAAATAAATGATGTTAATTTAATAATAATTTCATAACGTAAAAGTTACAGCATCTGTAAAATTTTTAAATTTACCATGATGTGATTCATAAAACTTGATAATGTTTTCGTGGGATTTTATCTCGGAATAAGTTTTAAGCTATAATTGCACAGCAGTTAATTTATTGTTATAGATTAGAAAGGGTATTCGAAACAATATATACCTCTCTATCAGCTTCATTCGATTTTTTATCTACGATTTTCATGGCGACAGGTGTTTCGTTGCCATTAATGACCAGAATTTTTTTTAGAACTCTGGATGAACCTCCTTCGGCCACGTGGTTTAACTCTATAATTCGGTTATCCATACACGGAATCTTTCTTTCAACACCCTGAAGTTAGGCGTAAGAAATCAATTTATCATCGAAGAAATTTAACAGATCAAGGATTTGAAATTAGAACACTACTTTATTATGTTATATATCGAAATGGGTTTTTACGTGTAGTCTGAAAATTTATCTATTAATTCTATAAAAAAGATTACAGGTGTCGCAATAATTTTCAACTGTGCAATTTTAATAATAATAATAACACTTTCACTTGGTTTATATTGATAAAATTCCACTCTCCACTGCCCCCTCTATTTCTGTACCTCCCCTCCCTCTACCTCTATACCGATAAACGAATGTTACGCAACGATGGCAATTCTATTATAAACAACATAAATTCAATAATAGGATCTGCATTGTGTTAACAGAGGATGGTTAATTTGATTATAACAGCGCATGCAGCGCATACTCAATTTGATTATAACAGCGCATGCTCATTTGCTTAAAAAAAAAAAATAATAATCTAAAAACATTAGGAAATTTCTAACCCAATAAAAATCGAAACATCCATGTAGGAGAGACTTTATTAGATTCACCGGGAACGGTATCGGGGTACAGAGATGATCCATCAACAAAAATTTTTTTGCGACTCTACCACGGTGGCCCCAAAGTTCGGGTCACATGACTTACTCCACTATCGCTCTCAAGCCATCAAGATTAATATTTTTATCTATCTTAATCTGGGTCGTTCTATTTAAGGATCCTAACGATTCTGTGTTCGATTCCATTCGATTCCAGCTCTTATAATAAATTTAATAGGTGGGTTATAACCCACCTATGTTTTTTATATGTATGCGAGTCCATGCGAGTCTATGCGATTCCAATTTTCGGGACTATAGTTCTATTCATATAAAATCTGAGAAGACAGAGTCCGATATACGGGGATAGTACTGTAGATTCGCAAAAAAATTTAGTTTAAATGTATTGTGTCATCATTTCGCTGCTTTGAATAATTTACTTTTTTAGGTTATTGCAAGTCTCCTCCAGACTTTTATTTAATAAACAGGTCAAAGATCATTATGCTAAGGTAAAGCGGTAGTGAGAATAAAAATAGTAATCATTAGTTTGAATACAATACGGTGATCAGGAAATAATTGATATTAGGCAATGGTTGAAACCCAAATTCGCGCTGCTAAACTGTGCCAATTCAAATGATAGTTTTCGAAAATCAATGATAAGTATCAATGATAAATGCTATTTGCGACCCAACTGTACGTATTAATAAGAAAATTTGTTGGCATATGAAGTAAATAACACAAATTCACAAAAACTCTTTATTTGTAGTTAAAATTTGCCACTATGTGGCTAAATTTTATTTACGTCGTAAATCTGTGTAGAATTCGATCGCTTGTAGAGGTTTTTTTTTTTAGAATACTTCTTCAGTTTTAAAACTTATTAAATAAATGCCACTTAACTTTGCGTTATAAAATGATAAACGTTTTGATTTCCATAAAGCATACACTCCTAAATTAAAGGTGAAGTATTAGAGCCGTTATAATCAATTAAAATGCTTTAAGTAAGAAATCTTTATTACCTGTTGTTCCGCAAAGAGAAAGACACTTGTAATATTGAGATGCAACTAGAGGGGCAATCAAGAAGATATTAGCAAGTGCGGAAAGTTGGTCAAATTGCAAGGCGCCTCGGAGTTAAAGTCTTTCAAGTGATTGGATTATTTTCACGCAAAGTGCAGTCTGATTTAGCCGATGACGACAACAATAGTAAAAATTTATTGAATAAACGTCTGCACGAGAAATTTTATATAAAAATATGCAACAGCATTATGGAACTTTTGCGACATTTTTAGGAACGAACAAACTTGGCCACGTGACGAATAACCAGAAAAAAAATGCTATAGAATTAGAAAAGATAGTATATTGCGCGAGATGTGGCTTGGTTCAATTGAATATGGGTATTATTATGTAATACTATCATTCGGCACGTAATTGATCTACGCTGAGATCTGATCCCAACCGACAATGAAAAAAAAACCATTAAATTATTACGTAATCATTTTGTGATAGCACATTATTTTTTATTCCTTTATTTATGTAATCTAAGAAAAAGATAGATCAAAAGTTAATAGAGGAGAGACCTCGGTCAAATGGCCATAGCAACGCCTCACCACTTACCCTTTATCCTTAATCACCAGTAACAATTATGCGATTTCTGTTAGCATTAGTGACAGACTCACCGATTGCGCATTACAATATATACTAGGAAACAGGTGTTGTTGTAAGTCCGGAGCAATATTCAGAAAGCAATTGTTTTTATTATACCAAGATAATGTAACATTTTATGAATTTCTTGTGTTTGTTGTCTGAAAAGCAATCTTATATGTTATTAACGATAGAATGACATCATGTTGCACAAAGTCACTAAATACGGTACAGGGGAAAATGACTTTTTTTATAAAAGTATTATAATCATTCGCCATGCTCCGGACCAATTATTAATTAAACTAAGAATATGAAAGGTAAGAGACCATCAAAGGAAGAATATTATTGTGACAATGCCGTTGAGAATTAAAATGTATGACCAAAAGTATGCTGCCATATTAATTAAAAAGGTTAGTTAGGGCTCGATCAATTTTTACCAAACATGGAATAGTGATAGCTAAATGCCTCAACCGTGTTTCAGAGCAATGTTCGAGTGATATTCAAAAAAAATATGGTATGTTAACAAATGGATACCAATCCTCGCAATGTTATAGAACAAATTTGAAATTACTATATGTTTGCTATTGGGTAGGATAGAATTAACTTTAGGCAAAGATCAAGGCGAAGACCTTCGCCCGATATCATAAATTTATTGGTTCTGATTATGATTTCCATGCAATTCAAGAGATCAATATTCGACTGTAGTGTACATATTGGTAAGATTATAACTTTTTGCGGTACGTAATTTAAAAAAACTGTATAGTGGAGAAAGATATACAGTACATACATCATAATAAATCAAGTAATACCCGGAAATGACATAATATACAGAAATATCAGTGCTAACGTTAAATAGCGAGACCTTCGTTACCTTTAACCCGCTCTTGCGTATGTAATAACAATTTTGAACCTATATATTCTTCTTTATTATTATATTGAATAACGAAACTAAAGTTCAAAAATTAAAGGCCATCCTCGTATTCTCAGTTCAATTTATTTCTAACACAATTAATGAAGGTAGCTTTGGGCTTGGTCTCGATATGGTATATGTGTTATCTTTCTATGCATTGCGATCCTTTCCGTGAGAAAACTTATTTATTCTTGATTTAAAAAATAATTAAAATTATAATATTCATGATAATAAATTTTTATTAAAAAATTTTTCGTAGATTTCATAGGCCATGAAAATTACGTTTCCATTGTTCACTGATAATGCTCACTATAATCAAAAAATTATTTGATAACGTCGAAATCTTTGCATTTGGATTAAGAACTCAAAATAATGTCGAAATAGAATGTATATATTGGAATAATAAAGTGATAATATTACATTGGAAAAGATCTAAATCCTGAGAAATCTTTATCAGGAAGGGAAAACCTGAGAATGGAGATAGTAATTTTCATATTGTAATTCGTTAGCCTTAGAATGAAGTTCGTTATTTTCATGAAGGATGATTTGATAGTTAGATTCCACAATAGAAAGTTTGGATTCTAATCCAGAAATTTTGTACTCTGCAACGGAAAGCTCTGTTTTTAAACGAGAAGTTTCGGCTTGTGCAACAGAGAGTTGGCACCTTAAGATTTGACACTGAATATAATCGTTCTGGATACCGTTAGAATCATTAGAAGACTCACTTTATTAACATGCGATTATAGATCAAATAATAATATAATACAGATTATGTGGGAAAAAAAAAAAAGGATTAAATAATTAGTGTAAGAGAAACAACTTAAATTATAATTAAAAAATATTGAAAAAAAAAGGTAACCTGATACGAAATCTATTCATGCCAGGGATGCCTTGATGTCGGGCCATAATTTTTAATGGTATAAATTGAATGGTATAATGTTAGGGCGGAAGCCACCAAGAAAAAATTGAGTAGAAAGTCATCAAGGAAAAAAACCTCAACTTATAAGAAAAAAAAAAGTCGGCTCGTCTTCACAATATTAACGAGGAAAAATTCCTTGATTTAGAAGAATGGTAAAAAGTTTGCGTCATGAAACATTATTTGCGAATCAAGTTCTTTGTTTACGGTCACTAAAGTAGACTTCTTGATAAAATTGGTAATTAAGTTATAATTTTTAGCGGTTTCTTTTGCTTGGTCACGTAAAAACATCATTGAACATAATCATATGATCATATGCGATATTCTAAAAATCAAATCCCATCAGATCATTTTGAATTAATAAGAAGAAAAACAGTAGAAATATGCCAAAGACGCCAGTATTTATTAATGGAAAATTCCACATAGAAAAAACACATGCAAAGTATTATTTTGTGCGAAGAAACGTAACAATTTTGAAAATAATTCGCCATAAATGGATTTCTTGGCAAAAAGATGTCCGTACCATACCAACTAGGATCATGAGTTGGACAAGTATCGGTTTCTCAACATTTGTAGCTAATGTAATGTAACAAATAATGTTCCTTATTAATATTGATTAAATGTCAGTTAAAATAGTTTGAAAAATTATTAAATAAATTTTTATTATTATACATTCTGTTGCAAAAGTTTGTGGACCAATATTTTTTAACATAATTTATAAATATTTATTTAAACCTTAAAAACAGTATATCTTTTATAATCTTATAATAAAAACATTCAAGTTTTATCAATAGTTAATTAATCATTTTGTTGTAAAATTATTATTTTAAAACAAAGAAAAAATAAATAAATTTTTTTAACTAGGTTTTACATATATAAATTTTTAGAATAAAAACTATAATTTATCATAAAAAAAAATTTTTTTTTTGAATTTATAAAATAATCACAAAAAATTATTTTATAATTATATTAATAAATTTATGACTTAATAATTTAATGATAAATTTTTGTTTTTAATATTAATTAATAAAAAAAATTATAAAAATTTCAATCAAAATTTTGTTACTTATTTTTTTATATAAAACAATATTTAATAATAAAATTATTAATAAATATTGAATACTTTTATAAATTATACATTTGATATTTTACATAAATTAAATATTATTATAAATTATATTAGAAAATATAAGAATCTATATATTCATACAAAATATAGATTCAAATTTTTTAGAAAATAAATATAAATCATTTGAATAAAAGCAAATAAATAGAATTTATATCTATTGAAATAACTGTAAATTAATTAATATTTACTAATAAATTTTTCAAGAACATTTATTACTAGTTTTTTAAAAATAATTATTAATAAACTTTTAATAATAGACTTTTTTTATAAACTTTTAAAAATTTAAAAGAATTGTATTGAAAACTTTAAAATAAATATAAATAAATTTTAAATCTATTAATAAGCTATTATTAAGTATTAAATTTTTTATATTTTTGTTAATAATATTTTAAAACAATTTATAAAAATTTTTAATATAAACTTCAAGTAATAAACTTTTTTAAATTTTTATTTAATAAATATTAAAAAAAAATATATTAATAATTATAAATTTAATTAATATTTTTAAATCTTCATAAATAATAAAATATTATTATTTAAAAAAATAAACTTAAAATATGTTAAGTTTTTTTTTGTAATGTTATATTACACTAATAGTACAGTGCTGGCCATAAATAATGAAAATTTTAATTTTCTAATTTTAAAGATTTTTTGCGCCACGAATATTAATCTGCATTACTATAATTTTTTTTTCTTTTTTAGCTTACATCTTCTTATTTATAAAAAAAATTTTTTTTCATATACCGCATATTCCTATAACAGTGAGATTGTCATTAGAAATGAATGATGGTTCTCTTGCTTATCAAAGAAACGTTATCCAAGTGCTATAGCATACCAATGAATGAAACC